GGGGGGAACACCCCGCTGCCTCCAGCCCTGCCCCCCTCCTCCAGCAGCGCACCCCACAGCAGTCCCTGGATCAGGCGCCTTTCCCAGTGGATTTGGGGCGTGTGGTTCCCCCAGTTCAGCCCCACGGCGATGGGCACCCTGTGCTGGAGGGAGCCCCTTCTCCCTCCCCGACAGCCACCCGGGTTGGGGACATGACGACTCCCCTGGGCCAGGGGCCACCGCGGGGTGCAGGCACCTGGGGCCAAGGGAATGGGGCAGATCAGGGGTTGAGCCCCCAGGGGAGCTGCCCCTCCAGACCCTGGGGGGCTGCAGTGATTCCTGACCCCCCAGCCCAACATCAAACCCTGGTGCTACGGCTCGGGCTTCGCGCTGGGGTGTCCCCACGCTGAGGACCGTGGGGACCCACCCATGCCCCTTCCCTGGGCACGGGCAGAGTTTAGCGGTGACAAATCCCCGTCAAGGACAACGGTGGCGCTGGCACCAGGTCACCCGCCAGCCGATCACAGCCTGTACGCAAATGCCAGAGCAGAGCAGGTGACAACCTCCCAGCTGCCCCAGAGACCCCCCCAGTACCCTCCTGCAGGGCTCAGCACCACTCCAAAACCCTCCAGCACCCCGTGGGTTGAACCCCAGGGGCAGCCCAAGGCGTCTTTATGCCCCGCTGTGGGGTATGAGCACTCACCGTGAATGGGGAAACTGAGGCAGGGGAGTGCAGTGAGGAACCTGAGTCTCCCTCGCTCCCCCCAAGCACTTTGTATTCTGGTATCAGGCTGGTGCACCCCGTGCAGCCCCAGCTTACCTGGCCCGGGAGGAGGAGGAGGAGGAGGAAGGCAGAGCCATCAGTGTCGATGCCGAGGGGCTGTGCCGGGGGTGAGCAGGGAGCTCGGGGCTGCCCTCCCTGCTGCCGCTGCCTCCCCCAGCTCTCCCCTCCCCAGCCGTGTTCATTAAACCTAAGGGCTTAATTACAACCTGAAAAAACTTCCCAGAGCCCACTAGCACTGTGGGACCCACACCGACCCCCCCACAGAAACACGGGGGGGACCAGGGGAGCATCCTGGTGCCTGCAGGATTTGGGTTGTGGCTCATCAGTAGCGTAAAGGGATCGATCTCCACGGAATGCCCAGAAAAGAGCAAACTCAGCCAGCAGCACCGGGAGCATCCTCCCGGGGGTCTTGGTCTCTCCAAGGAGGATGGGGAACAGATGGCTTGGCCCTGGGGTTGTCCCCAAACTGGCAGGTCCCCCGAGGGGTGCAGGAAGAAGGGGCTGGTGCTGGCAATGAAAAAATAATTGAGGTAAATAAAGTGAAGGCCGGTGGTGGCATGTGGGGCTGGGAGCTGGGGGGGGGGAGCCAGGGTCCCCC